ATTTTTTCTCTAATTAAATTAATTATATGGAAATTGTTCAAAGGTTTTCTGCTTTCTATTCATAATTATTAAAGAATGATTCATTTGTGATTAGAAAAATACACATATATAGTATATTCACAATTAAGTTAAAAATTCCCATTTTCTTGATTATAAATATAAGAGTTATTAAGTATTAGATTATTCTGTTTCTTTTAAAGTTTTTGGTTTACAAAAATAAAGTGGATGCGCCGGGTTTAATATTTACTAATTATTATGATTATGAAATTATTTATTGAAACTGGATCGTTTTGAATTTTTATTAATACCGGTGTAATTGGTGCGGGATGTGGAGGTCTTTGGCCTTAATTTCTGGAAATTGACGGTGAGGGAACAGAGAAAAGCGCTCTTTTTGAGGTGGAGCCAGAATAAATTATATAAATTAACATTAACATAAAAAAAACTAATGTAAATTTGTAATTTGATAATTTGTAAAAGACGAATTAACAAATATGTATGAAATTAATGAAAATTAACTAAATTAAGATAAAACTTACAAAATTATAAAAATTCATACTGAATTAGATACACAAATGAATGTAAGTTCAATTAAAGTAAAAATTATATTAATTAAACAAAATTACAAAATCACGATCATAAAATGATAAATGTGAAAATTGTTAATTGCAGGAAATAATCAAATAATTGATAAAATATGTTGATTAACGAAAACTATTTAAATTAACTTTTTTTTAGTGATTTTTGAAAACGATTAAAAACAATGGCACAAACGCTGCAGTATTGCTCAAAATTAATGGGTTGCAACGAATTATTTGTTAATTATTACTTAATATTTAGAAATATTTTGTTAATTGAATGTTTACTTAATTGACGTAATTAAGATAATAATTGCTATAAAATTTTGTAAAGTTCATAATTATTAAACAATGATTCATTTGTGATTAAAAAAATACACATATTTAGTTTATTCGCAATTAAGATAAAAATTCACATTTTCTTGATTATAAATATAAGAGTTATTAAGTATAGATTATTCTGTTTCTTTTAAAGTTTTTGGTTTACAAAAATAAAGTGGATGCGCCGGGTTTAATATTTACTAAATATTATGATTATGAAATTATTTATTGGATACAAGCGAATAACTGGATCGTTTTGAATTTTTATTAATACCGGTGTAATTGGTGCGGGATGTGGAGGTCTTTGGCCTTAATTTCTGGAAAGTGACAGTGAGGGAACAGAGAAAAGCGCTCTTTTTGAGGTGGAGCCAGAACAAACAGAACGCTCAAGTGCCCCTAATGACTGAGTACACATCATCTGCATAGCCTAGCGGGGACGGGCGTATGCCGGTATTGCCTCATTTGCAACCTGCAGGTCGAATCATTTACATAGAATAACAAGCCAGGGCGGTTTTGTATGAGAAGGGGGACGAAGAGAATTGAGCCTGCGACGACGCCTCAGACTCCAACCACCTTCAACAACCGCCGCCGCCGCTCTTGGCGTTCATTAATATTGCATGTGCTCACACACACACATATACATGTTAGTTAGAAATGATGAAGTCGTCACCGTTTCGCATAATATTCCGAACTTATCTTTTCAACTAACTAATCTTCAGGCGTGTTGCCTCCCTGATGATCGGAGCAGTGTGTTTGGTGAAAACGTTGCGGTCTCGTCGCGTAAGCCGTTCAAACGTACGCAGGAAAACATAAGAGACGGAGACGGACGGAGTCTGCGAACTCTGCGAGGGGCTTTTAGTCCTAGTTAGCAGTTCGCTTGTTTCTGCTAACTGACATAATTTTCCTCTTAAATACATTAAGTGTGGAAAGTGCAGGAACGAGAAAGTAACAGGCTCTTCCCCACTTGAGCCGGATGACGGCTTATATTTAATTGGGTGAGTGTGCTACCGCTCCTCCAACTCCGACTCCGCATCTTCCTCCTACTCCTCCTGCTCCTCTTCGCCACGTATAAAGCGAGCTCGGTATAAACAAAGAGCAGTTACCGCTCGCTCTATGACGTTTCTGGATGACAGTCGTTAGACTCTGTAACGATTATTGGCCGCTGTTTACATCCGAAGCAGCAAATTGCTTTAGTGTATGTGACTGCATACATGTCGCTTATATAGACAAAGTTATATAGATACATATAGAGAAATGGGAGATAGTTAAAGGCAATTACGTCGAAGCATCGAACGAAATGAAATAAATCACATTTTAACTACATCCTCTCTTTCTCTCTTCTCCAATCTGCTGCTGCACCGGAGTGGAGTGGAGTAGAGGCATTACCTCATATTATGTCTGATGACAGGAAAACAGCTCATATTATTTGATTGCTCCGAAACGTCGCAACAGTCGATCGGCTCGAAAACGAATAATATATTTTGCCTCTCTCTCTCTATGCGCATCCATCCACCCCTCCCGGTTCCATTCATCCGGCACCAAATGGAACGTAATTATGTTACCGCTCCACCCTCGCGTTCGAAATAAAATCAAATTTCCCGCCACTCCGTCGCCCTTGCCTACCGCCCGAATCCCGAACCCTCTCCGGGTTAGATTACTTTTTATACATTCCGCCTCCTCCGACGTGAGCATCTGACAGTCCTGATAAAGTAGTTGCCATATTTTACAATACAAGTGAAAGTTCGAGTTATCTCCCGAAATCATGACAAACAGAAAGAGCGAAGATCCTTACACGTATCACTATATATATATATATATATTTATTCACGTGTGTGCGTATAATAAATACAATTATGAACTTTCGGGTTATAAATAACGCAGTTTATCTCCTTTTCTTTTTTGTTCCAACTCGATTTTTTCTTTTTCCGAAAAGTTTATAGACCCTTTACACTCTGAACATTTCTGCTCACACGCACATGATTCATTGCATTATACAATAAACTTTTTCCTTCAGTCAAGGTACAAAAAAAAAAGGAAGGAAATTCTTGTTAAAATTAAATTAACTCAAAACATTCTTGAAATAATCAAAAGTCTCATCTATGTAGTTAATTTCAACATCATAAATTTACAGTAAAAATAAATTTGAAATTGTATATTTGAGCCGTTTATTTTGAAAGTGGCTTAAGTCCATTTTCATCTTTTATCAAGTTGGCACTTGTGACATTTATAATTTATGTTGAACTGTCAAAAAAATAAATCGGTATTGAAATATACTTGAAAATTTAATATCACGTACATTTTCAAAATAATATAAATACTGAAAATCTTAATTTTGAAAGTGACCTAAGTCCACTTTTTATTGACGATGTCAAAAAGTGCGGCCCAAGCAATGATGAAGGTAATTTAAATTACGTTTTGATATTAAATTGAAATTTAAAAAATAATATTTAATTTAAAGAAATTATTAAACCCATTGGGAAAGG